TATCTAAAGCCTATTATTATGTTATTCCTTAGATCCACAGAGCTCCACTGTTGTCCAAGAACTATTGAAGACACGTCAATGTCCTGCATGTGGGACACAGTGAGCGTGAACATAGCGGGGTAGAGGTACCAGTGTGTACACGTCCCATTGCAGGACTCTGCTTCACTGAAAAACTTCTCTTTTATCTGTTTGCAAGTTACTTTAACAAACTGAATGAACAATTTTGACTTTTTTCACTTTGTTCTGAAGTCACTGACAGGAGGGAGAATGAGAAATATTGGTGAAATGTGGGGAGAAGAGAAACCTTGAACAAAGCAAGCCTCAGGAGAGTGTTTTCAGAGGTAATTATTAGCACTCCCTTCTCTCTCTGTCCTTGCTGAAAGCAACCTGTTATGAAAACCAGTCACATGGACAGCTTCTCCCTTTGAGGGACTGCCACCATGCCTCATAACCATAAATAGAGCAAGGCAGGGGAGACGTCAGATTATCTTCTTTCACACCCTTTGATTTTGGAAAGGTCTTGAGTTGCATACCAAATAAAAACCAGTTGATCCTGAATACATAAAGATGGGGGTGCCCCTGAAGGCGAAGGAGGTATAAGCCTCTTTAAACATCCATACATGTCCTGTTCTGAATGCTAGACTGATGGTAAATAAATGAAAATGAAGAAGCAAGAGCAAGAAATGCTCTCATGGGGTCACCAGCAATTTAATTTTAATTAGCCAAATCATCAGCTACTTTAATGAGGCACTGAAACCAGTTTGGGCCATTTAAGTCCCACTTCTTTCCTTATTAGCTGCAATGTTGAAGTGATTGCCATGGTAGCAATTTTTAACACAAAAGTGAAAATACCACCTTGCAATCTCAGCAGCTAAAGACGTGTGTCATTAACATGTGAAGATTCTGGTAAACACTTACTATCATTTCTGCATTATAGAATTAAATTGACTCCTAGTTTATTATGATCTATAGAGAGCTGACATGTCATCCCACTTTTGGGCTAGGTAGCATGTGTCCCATTAGCCTTTGCTGAACAGTGACAGCAGTAAATGTTTTTGGCAGCACAAACTGTTATGGACACAGCACTAGGAGAAGTGTGTACACTGTTAGACTAAAGTCTGCTAATTAATGGAAAACTACTGATTACAGTATTAGCGCTGGCCATCCTCCATACTGGTCATGAAAACACTGTATGAATACAAGATTTTTTCCCTGCAAATTACATTTGAAACAGCAGCAGATATGTTAAACCTGAGGATCCATATGGTGAGATTTACTGTGTGATCACCACTGGAAGCAACAGAGCCTCTTTCTTTGAGATATGATCTGCACTGCCTGAAGACTGTACCTGATAATCCCACCCACTTTTCCAGTCTGTCAAGAAGGAGTTTATGGTCCACAGTATCAAAGGCTACACTGAGATGAAGCAGCACCAAAACTGGTGTTTGAATTGACTGTCATTTAACACATTTATCAATGAAGCGCTGTAAGATTTTTTGACATGTTGGGGGATTAATTAGCTTCTAAAAGTGGCAAAATAAAGGCTGAGAATTATTGGTATTCCTGTTGATGATGTTAGAGAAAAAGGCTTGTCTAGTCTTATTTCAGAATTTAAATGTGAAGCGTCTCTCTAAAGATCTCATAATGAACCTGAAGATTACTTTTTCTCCATTTGTTTTACTCTTTTCTGACCTGACACAGCCAGTGTGTTTCTCCATGGTGCTGCCTGCTCACCAGGCTTTTACCTTTTCAGGTGCAATGGTGTCAGTAAGTTCCAGAGTCTTAAGGCAAAAGTGATCAAGGAGTAAATAATTCTTCTAGACCTTTATAAACCTCGGAGGTCTATAAACTGTTAACAGCAAGATTTCTGGTGTGCCTTTCAACACAACGTTCAACGGACTCAGACTCACCACATGGTAACTGCTTACACTGGAACGAGTCTTTACAGCAGCAGCATCTCTACGTACTACTGGGCGGACAGAGAACATCACTATTCAGAGTGATCTTGTATTTGGTACAATATGGTATTCATCTAGTTAGGTTCTGACCTCATTTCAGAACCAGCAGCTGTCTGACCTCTTTAAACAGTCGAGCCCCAGTATTGGTTCGTAGCTTCTCTACAGGGAAACTATTGATTATTAGCTGTTAAATTTAGGTCATGTTCTCTGGGAATTACATGAGTTTCATATTTCTGTTGTTACAACTGCAGCAGTAGTAGTAGTTAGAAAAGCTAGAAAAGAAGTTCCAGTGAAATAACCTTTTAAATATACTGAGGACTGTGGACTGAACAGTCAAGCTCGCCATCTGCCACAGTCAGACACTACAACACTTTCATGTTTGTGTGTATAAGTATGTGGGCATGACCACATGTGCCTGTGTGTGCTGCATGTTTCACCAGGAGGTTCAGTCCAAGGAGCACACACAGTGAGAAGATGAATTACCTTCCATATTGACTCAACACCCTTGGAAACCAGACAAACTAATTTGTTTCTACTGGAGTCCAGTAGACGGACCTCACGAACATCTAACATGTCTGACTGTGTAAATAAGTTAAGTTTAACTGGCCTTAATACTTAGCAGGCATATTAGTTTAATTCACTGATCAGTCAATGATGTAAGCAGACCAAGTTTAATATTTCCATGCTACAATAAATAAAGAAGCTCTGTGTCAGAAATACAAAAGTGCATTTGATACAAAAAAAGGATCAAACTAGTAGCAGAGCATAGAGTCAGGCCTGTGTTAACTTACATAGTTCTCTGTGTCGAAAAGCTCCAGTGCTGTCTGTAAACTACTAAAAGCACATGAGTGAGCCACACTGGGTGACATGTTCCTTCATTATCGTGAACACACAACCTGTAGGGTACCCACACGATACAATGTCCTGCTGCACCAAATACTTGCTAGAGCACCAAATACTGATTAATCTGCCACTGAAAATAGTCCCCAACAGCTGCATTCTCTCCTCTTGTTTGTGTGATGGCTGTTTAAAAATACAATGGACAGCTGTTCTAGAGAATTACTGAGCCTCTTTAAAAAGTAAACCTACATATTTGTGAGGAGTTTTGAAAGGATACACCTTCAGTAGTGTCCTTGGGGCTGAGAGCCACAGGCAGAGTAGGGAGGGCAGAAAGCACATTGTTAGTTTTAAGCTTTTCATAGACTTTTTTTTGACAGTAACATAATTACAAAACCCTAATTACCAACCCTATTCTTTTATGCTTTGTACTAGAAAATTAAAATGTTGACTTGGGATCAGACACAGTTTAAATTATTCATACTAATGCCACTCATAGTTGAAATGTCATCAGACTTTGCAGGTCGATCCAGAATATGTTAACTATACTCTGCTGGCTGTTTAACAGAGCCACTAGTCTAAAACTAAAAGCACTGCAATAAATCCTCCATTCATAAAGTGAATGGAAACTGTTAAAGGGGTTTTTCTTTTACTTTAAGGTCACTTGGTGAATGAAATCTGTAGTGTCATTTCACCGTATTACACCAATACTAGGGGTACATGTAATATTTGTTGTATTAGACTGTGTTAAGTTTACTTAGATGTAACTGCCTGTTTACATTTGTTGCAATTACACAATGAATAATTTTTGTTTTTAGTACCTGTGAATTACTGATCAATTTAATTTCCTCTGGTTTCTAAATTATTTAAATAAATCGATCTAAGAAGGAAAAACTACTTTGGTGAGCTGATCACATCTGATAGACAAGCTATGACAAGAAGTAAATAGGTGTTGCTTATATTTTCACAGGTCAGAAGAAAACAAAAGAACAACAACTTTGTAGCCACTGTTCTCACTCAGAATGGACAGATGCAAACATAAACTCCTTGGAAAGGTAATCAGAATTCAGGGCCATGGGAAGGAAATGACCAAAACTGAAACTGGTGGATTGTGACAGTCTGAAAGATCAGTCTGATACAGCTTTTCATTTCCTCAATCGTACAGTCCAAATCATAGCAAGAAAGCTGCAGGAGTTTACATCAGGAGATCAAAATCCCAGTTGGATATTAGTTTGCAACTATCTACTAACATTACCGATTCATGATAAAAGTGGTAATCAGTGTAAGGACAGTGATTTCTGTCTTCATATATAATCCAATATTCTACATGTTTTGTATGGAAACAACAAAGGGAGGAATTGAGGATACTGACAAAGCAGACAGGTAAAGTCTGACCAGTTGAATTGCACAGGCTCACTAGTAAATTACAAGAGCTTACTAGAGTTCAGGCTAAGAAACCAAGCAGGGAGAAGAAGACACATGCAGTCAGTCCGGGCAGAGCAATAAATCCATGGGGGTCTACCCAACAGATTCCAGCTACAGAGGAAACACAAAAAACTGAGGCAACAAGGATCACAAAAGCCACCACAAGAGCACCTCTGACAATCTGGAAAAGAACAAAAGGTAACAAGCAGTACACACACACAGAGAAAAGTATTAAGACAAGAGAAGACAGGTGTGTGTGTGTGTGTGTGTGTGTGTGTGGTGAGTCCCAAGAAGGAGCTGGCGGACTGCAAACAAAGCAGAGCTTGCATGGAGATCTCGCACATGCACAGTTAAGTGTTAATACTTCAGACGCTGTAAAAAGTTATGGTGGGTTGGAGCTTTCAGGGCCATATTTTTAACAAATATGCAGGTCTGGTGTTTCGTAATGAGGAAATATGTCACCAAGTGTAGTGGTGTGTTTCACTGAGGTGGTTTAATCGTTTTTGAACAACATTGGAGGTCTATGGCACAGACGAACCAACTAATCCAGGCTGGAGATCGATAAGACATTAACTGTGAGTAGAAGCAGTTCATTATAGAATATAGAAAATAACCAGCCTTCTCCTTTAAGACTTAGAAACACTGAAGGCAGCGTGAACATATTTAAAGTTGACTGAACCAACTCTGCCCAGCTGACCCATCTCAGAGTTTGTTAAACTCCCTATCCACCTGAAGACTGAACACTGTGACTGTACAAAGTAGCAACAGAAAGCATCATACCATATGTACCTGTTTAATGGCTTCAAATGTAGATGGGAGAAATGGCAGTTTTCAGCCTTTGCCTGCGTGCTGCTTTACATCAGCTGCAGGGAAAAGAAAGAGAAGTAATTATGAGCGCATGATACATGTACAGTATTTAGACAGACATGTAGAACTCACCTGTGAGAGGAACAGTCAAAAGGTTAAAACATCACTCACATTAAATGCCTAAATAATCACAAGGGGAGACTGTAAATCCTGCCTTTGGTCTTGGCCTCTATTATTATATTTTAAATGACTGATGTTTAATACTTTCTTTCTGACACTTAGACTTTAATGATTTGTTTTAGTCAAACTGGCAGCACCTCAAACTATGGTTCAAACTGAAATATCTCAGGATGAATAAGTTTTCATCTAGCACCACGATCAGGTCAGACTTAAATCTGTCCAGTACTTTGGTTTATGAACAAATAACTGCCCAAGAAAAGACATTCCCATCAGTCTCAGCTGTACCTTGTGTCAGATGATTCATTACAGTGGGATCAACCATACAGTATTACAATTAGTTAGTTGACGACATGATTAGCTGAGAAGAGTGCTTACAATTACTGAGGCACTTAGGTGATCTCAACAACCATTTAAATGTCACCTAAATGTAAGGAAATACAGTATTCTATATAATTTGGGTACCACACTATAGCTGAAATTACCTCGGTACTGTCTGTGGTCTGCAGGCCTCATCAAGCACATTTAACACACAAGCCTGAACATGCTAGTCTTAAACGTATTTACATGTTTCTTAAGCCGATTTAAAAGTTTTTCAAAGTGCTCCTTCTAGACAAAAACACAGATAGGTTCTCACTGTAAGCCCTACCTTGTAGTAAACCTAATGTCTAACTGTTGCTATAGCAACCAGCACATGTGAGGAGGGAACAAAATCATGATCGATGTCATTGCTGCACTGGTACTGTACGGTACCCACGGTACATTAGAACATGGAAATCCAAGAGAGAAGGAAAAGTCAGTAATGAGAGTGATTCATCATGCTCACTATGTTTGTGCTACACGATTCACTGTTCGTGATTCATGTTTTTTTCTTTGTTTTCAATATGTGATTAAAAAGTGGAGAACTATTTGTCACAATCATCCAGACTTGTAAGCAGCAAACATGAAGAGAGAGATGAAGAGAATCGTGACAATTGTTAAAGCTGAGTAAGTAAACTATGATTCAGCTGACAACACACAAGCACAGAGACAATGCTGCAGCACAATTAACACCGGACAAACTAACCCCACAGTAGGAGCTCCTTTTTTTGTATTTCACAGTTGACAAAGCTTTTGATGAATACTCAATGTGATTACTGCCCACTGTGGGCAGCCATATATTGATCTTAGAGAACAGATGACCAAGCAATTGTTTTCTACTCATTCTAGTTGAGAAAAGTGAATTTGCTTTTGAGCAGAAAACAACTTAGCAGGCAGCTCCAGGATGCAGAGCGTGTCTCATTCTTCGCTGACGGTGTTCGATGAATAAAGGCTGCAGCTCACCTTAGTGACTCAACTCCCTGGAAATGTTGTTTCACTCGAACACAAATATTCATTTGTAAATGTGCAGCGCTCAAGGTAAAAAAAAAAAAAAAAAAAAAGGTCATTATTTAAAGATTTTAACAGTTAAAAACTTCTAACCTGCTTCATCAGGACCATGTTTGTGGTTTGATCAGATTTGACTGACCGTTACCAGGCACCATCAGTAAACAGCCCCACATCTGTCTTCAAATTTTGACTGAAATATTGCTAAATCCAGAATGGAGCACACAGATCACAGTTTGTCTTCACTAAGACAGACATATCTAATAAGAAATAATCAAAACTGCTCAAACTTTAGGAGAAGATGATGTGCTGATGTGGGAGCCCAGCCCTCAAAGAGTCACATCATGTATAACCATACTGCTGCTGGTCACTTTTCAAAATAAATAAATATTTGTGCCCAAAATGACTACACAAATGACTATAATTAATAAGAATATTGCTATAATTGTGGGTAAATCATAGACTGTTCAGCAG